CTGTATAGCCGTTTATTAAAAATTAGTTCCAGAAATGGTTCATGAAGTTCTCATAGATAATTTAAAACTTTGGATACAGAATGCTTCACAATTCTTAGAGACTGTTGAATGCTTTCCAAAGTGCAGTGCAAATCTTTTCTTGGTTTATTCTGCAGAATATGAATGCATGTATTGATGCCATGCAGTAGGTTTTAGTACAGTTTTAATTTTTGCCTAGCACCACTGCACAATTTTTAAAATGAGAAATACATTCAATTCCATTCTATTTATTTATATAAAAGCATCACAAACAATATAATTGTGGGAAATTTTAGCTTGAAATAATAAACCATACATTCATTCCAGGTACAGTATTTCCTGGTTTTTTTTCACATCAAACGAATGCAATCAAAATTATTATGGATAAATTGAAAAAGAACACTCACTTCAGCTAGTCCTTGCAAAATTCGGACAAAGATGGTGATCTGTGAGTTCGCCTTAGATGTGATTGGAAAAAAGGCATTCAAAATGGCAGAAAGGGCAATCGCCGCGCCAAACAATCTGAAAAGGGCAGAAAAATATATATCAACGATTCCAGCCGAATTTCAGAATGAAATGTTCAATAATTTGAACATATTCGACAGAGTCTTGCAAATGTGATTAAAGACAGTAAGAGCATCGTCTTATTCGCACCTTTGAGCGATTTTACAGTAGTTGATAAGATTCAAGGTGTTCAACAAAGCAATACTTACTTGCTTGCTGGGTACTTCGAAGCTATCAAACCACCTGGAATCTGAGTGACCATGTAGCCGTAGAAAAAAGCACTTTCCACGTTTCCTATCGTATCTCTGTCCCAATCTATTTCTCCTTTCTACAACAGAGAGATTCAGCAAATCATCAGGTCTAATAAAGTTCTCAAAATGACGAGAGAATTCAATGCAGGAGTCATTGTTCTCATGAGCATTCATTCTTCCGATTCATCATGCACTTTCAAAATCGGTTTTTATCTATTTTAAAATAATAATAAAATTATTCGATTCGGCTTACCTTTCCATCTTTGCCTTTGGTCATCCGAACGATTGCGATCCCGATGTTGCTTCGAATTCCGAAGGATATCAAAAAACCTGACAAAAAATATCACATCAAATGAATCCAAGGGGGAATTGCAAAATTAATAAATTAAAATCCACTTTTCTCAAGCAAAACAGTGGGCTTTGATTGATTGTTAAGGAAGAATTTCTCACCTATCATGACGAGAATCGCCATGGTGTAGCGTTTGGTGATGCTGCAACAAGGACATTCTGGTTGTATATAATGATCTATTTTCCTCAGAGGCACTTCTTCTCTTTCTG